TTAGAATGGCTAGTTGGACATTTATTGGACAATGGCATCATTTGTTTACTTTTGAACATTGGCAAAAATCAAACATTTCCCCTACTTTGAGCTCCATTTCTAGGTTCTTTTTATAGTAAAATCAATCAAAAACACCTCTATTTCTGTAATATGTTTTTCATTCTATCAAATGAGACCAAGAAAACGAGAATACAACCATAAATACTATACGAAAATAGACCACAAAGTCGGCATTTTAATTAAAAAAAACGGTCGTTTTTTTTTTTCTCATTATGCACTGCGTGCTCCAGGATATTTTTTATATGGTGCACACTGACCACACAGATCCATTCTCTCACATGTGGGCCTACCAGCTTTCTCCTGCTTGATTTGAAGCCGCTAGAATTTGAGTATATATACGTCAAACACGGCACTTCGTAAAACGTATATATACGGCCGCGACAGTCGAAGGGTTAAACTCCAATATCAACCTTGACCTAAAACGCTTTCTTGATAGTTGTGACAGAACCCACAGGCATAACACCAGACACAAACATCTCTACGACATTCCCCGTGTCTGACTAAACCTTTACAAAAATTCAATGTATGTCAAAGGCCCTAAAATCTGGAACACCCTACCTGAGAACTCTAGAACTGCACACACATTCATCTCCTTCAAAACTACCATTAGAAAACATCTTATCTCCCTGATACATCCCGTCAACTAACTACACGAATACCACCTTGTGGTTCACACTTACACTCACTCACCCATTTGACCATAAACAGAAATATTAATCTCAACCTTAAAATAATGAATCCTGTGATACTCCAATACTGAAACTATACTGTGCCAAAACAAAAGCATTCACATTGCTAAACTCACAAACTAGTATTTAGTCACTTAGCCATAATACCAACTTACCTCATAATTTGTAATATTTTAAAATTAAGAATTAAACTAAGTCTGCCCGAAATGCCTAGCCATGCTAGGTGTTCTAGTGGTACACTCTGTAATCATTATTTTACTACATGTAAACCACACAACCAAATTCTGTAAACTCAGCATTGTAATCCTTATAGAGAATAAACTTTTGAATTTGAATTTGAATTTCCAACTTCAAGAAACTCTACTCAAAAGCTATGTTTGAAAGGTGCTTTGTAGTGACCTCAGAAACTCAGTTGACTCTAAGAGAGTTTTGGAGAGATCACTTCAGCATCCTCAATTGTGTAAACATTATAGGTAAGGCTTGGAAAGAAGTGACTAAGAGGACCTTGAACTCTGCTTGGAAGAAACTGTGGCCAGAATGTGTAGTCAAAAGGGATTTTGAAGGGTTTGAGGCTAACTCTGGGAATCCTATGCCAGTTGAGAAATCCATTGTGGCATTGGGGAAGTCCTTGGGGTTGGAGGTTAATGGGGAGGATGTGGAAGAGTTGGAGGAGGAGGACAATGACGAACTAACCACTGATGAGCTGCTGGATCATCTTCAACAGCAAGAGGCCAGACCTAAGGAAACTGCTCTGGAGGAGGGGATAGAGAAATTGAAGAAGTTGTCTACTTCAAAGATTAAGGAAATGTGTGCAATGTGGCTTAAAGTGCAAACCTTTTTTGATGAAAATCACCCTCACACAGCTATTGCAAGCCGTGCTGGTGACTATTACACTGACAATGTTGTGAAACACTTCAGGAATGTCATAAAGGAATGGGAGGTACAGGCCTCTATGGACAGATATGTTGTGCGACAGAGGTTCAGTGACTCTCAAGCTGGTCCTAGTGGCATTAAAAGAAGGGAAGTAACCCCAGAAAAGGACTTGCCACCTCAAGTCCTAATGGAAGGGGATTCTCCTTCTAAACATTAACACCATCCACAGTCTCCCCTCCTCCCATCCCATCAATCATCACCAGATCTTCAATAAAGGTAAGTGTCATGTAACTGTGTATGTCTTCTTCAGTTTGTGTGTATTAAAATTAATATTTCATGTGGCAAAAATTTTTTTTTGTTCATACTTTGGGGTGTCAGGAACGGATTAATTTGATTTCCATTATTTCTTATGGGGAAAATTAATTCGGCTAATGATAATTTCGCCTAACGTTGAGCTCTCAGGAACGATTAATATTGTTAGGCGAGGGTCCACTGTACTTTACTTCTTGGTTATTTATTCCAGTTAGGGTATTACATTTAAAAAAGTCTCTCCAGCACTAACAGCAATACACCTCAACAATAATTGCCTTGGTTAACTTTTAACTTCTAAGCAACATGATGTTTAAATAACTTGTAGGTATATGCTAAGTCTCCATATGTATCATAAATTTTAACAGATTTATAATTGGACGAATTTTGGCCAATAGTGAGGTGTAGGTAACTTACATAGAGCATAGCCAGTGTGATACAGTTGTTTGTGTAACCTACCATATCCTTATTTTACACTATTCATTTTTTAGGCAGTTTACATTGCTTTTTTTCTGTAAACTCATCTGAATTAGGCATGTATAGTAATACCTTTATTATTTGGGGGGGTGTTGCCCAAGTGTCTATGAGAACAGGATAATGTTTAAAAATAGCTTTATACCTAATATAGTACTGTACACACAATTTACAATTACGTATATTGTAGTAACCTCTGAAAATAGAGTTAAAAGTTCAATATACTCGGTGGATTTTGTCTACTATTTTTAAAGTCTGTTATATTGATGGTTTACTGTACTTTCATTATTTTAGTTTGTTAGTTTACATAAGGCCACAAAAACATAAATTTAATCATAAATAAGCAAATTGAAAAAATCAGGTGCATCATTTCTGGCAGTTTAGTCCAAGTAGTCCTGGGCAATGTTCACATCTGGACACACATACTAAACAGGATGCAAAGAAGGGCTGTGTTCAAGCATACAGTATTGTAATCTTTTCTTAACACTTCTCAGCTCTTAATATGTGTATACTTGGTTCACATTACAGGATGCTTCAAACATTTAAACTTATAATTTAGACTTAAACTTCCAATACATGTAATTACATAAAACACCATATCCTCAAGTTTTCATCCCTAGTCTTATATTTCATGTTATGCTTCACATAACTGGGGACTTTAAGCGTGTACTCTGCATCACCCATTTATGTATAAACATTGTATCGTATTGAAATAAGCTTGTATTTTTATAAATGTTGGCTAATAATTATGTTCTCTGAAATGTGTTTGGCATCTTGAAGTTGTTGCAGATGAATCATGGATTAGAAAAGTTATTGAACAAGTATAATTAACGTAAAAGTTGGAGTTATTATTGACTATTAAAAATGAAACAATTATCAAATAAACGTGAATTAACAGGAGAGTAGATGTTCTGCTGAATAACTCTAGCACTGAATCGCACATCACTTTCATAGAAATGTCCAGATGCAAGAGATACTCTCAGGGGGCACATCCTGTATAGTCCGGGGAAAATCGTGAAGAAGAGTAGATTTCCCACCAACTTTGCCAAAATTAGTCAGTTGTAGTCCAACTGTTACAGTAGTTTCATGAGCCAATGTGCTTCAGCTCTAATGTTTCAAATTCATAATATTGATCTAAAAACACTCGTTACAATTCTTACTTCCATCCATCAATCAAATTATCAATGTAGCCAGCAGCTTCCAGTCAAATCTTTCAACTTGATAATGACATCTCCCTTCTATTATGCTCAATTTCATGGTATTTATTTGTAGAGTGACTAACTGATGTACAGTAGACTTCTATATATTGTGCTGGTTATGTTCCTGAAAATCAGTGCTATACATGAAATCATGATATATTGACTGAATAACATATGGGGGAAAAAAATGGTTGTTCTTAACAACTAAAAAAAAAAAAAAAAAAATTTAATTGGACTGAGCACATAGACTCCAGACTAAGGGACTAATTACTTCAAATTCCTTTTCGTCTTCCACCGTTCTCTGCATTGGTCTGAAGAAGCCACTGGCTGGCTAATTGTTTACAGAATAATGATACCCAAATGTTGCACGTGTCTCATTTATTAACTTGTTGGTTTTCTAAACCATTTATTCAAAAGTCAGTTTTTTGTTCATCTTTCCTGAAAATTGTCAATTGATAAAGGCATGCTATAAACATAGGTGGTATCAGGGAGAGGCTTGGGGGGCTGAAGCCTACCAAAAATTCTCATTGACTCCCAAAGTCTCCCAATAAAAACAGTAATAATAATAATGCTTCAAAACAAGTTTCCTAGCCCCTCCTCTTCTGTCTTGTGTTCCGTGTAATTCCTAAATGTGTTATGACCACCTAGAGGCTGTATATGTAATCACTCATTAGTTACTGCCTTATTAGTCGTAAAATAGGCTTAAGTTTGCCCAAAATGCTGTGCATACTAAGGGGCTTTCTGCCTTCTCACCTAAATGTCACCCATCTCTGTACAAGCATTGTATCATGATGAAATTAATAAATATGAAACTAGTTAGTCACCCCTAAACCCTCCAGTATAAAAATTCTGCTGTCACTCCTGCCCATTAATAACTTTACATTTAGAGAACATCTATTACTCTCTTTCATAAAAAAAATAGAATTTTTGCATTTTATCTTTATATGTTTACTGTAATATACTTGCAGAACTCTGTGCAATTAACAAATATAATATTCTTGAGATACTGAGGATTCTGTAAATCACTTCATAAATAACTGTTTGACAAAGATAAGTTATTGCAAACTCCTTGGGGAAGTGGAAAAGAATCCTTCCTCCATAAGCCATGAGTGTTGTAAGAGGCAATTATGATGTTGGGAGCAAGGGGCTAGTAACCCCTTCTATATAAATCAATAAATGTAAAAAGAAAAATTTTTTTCAGGTCACCCTGTCTCAGTGGGAGACAGCCAGTATATTAAAAAAAAAAGATACTGGGGAAAGTCATTGTCTTAGGAATGCTTTTAAATTTTTGTAGTTTTCATTTATTCAATGTTGCAAAATTCTAAAAGAACTTGTAATTTGTTTTACTGTGCCTGTTCTTAGTAATACTGAAATATTTTCATGTTTTGTTAACCAGGCATGTTGGATTATATGATCTGGCCCTGGGTGGAGAGGCTTCCCATGGCCCAACAGATGGCTGGTGACGATGATGCGCTTCCTGAAGAACGCTACCTCAAACTGGTGAGACTGCTTCTTAGTTCAGATCTTGTTCTTAAAAGTTTAATTAATAAAGTGAGTTGATGGCATGCTTTTTCAGAAGTTGAAGTCTGCCATTATATTGTATGTGTGCATATGTATGCTTAGTAATTCATTGTTATCCATGAGAAGCTCACAGATGGTGAATCTGCCAGTTTGAAATGTATCTTTTTTTTTAAAATGGGGATGCATGTCAGACCTTGATGACCTGTGTACTCAGATGTAATATTAATCAGTCGTTCTTGTGTTGTTTTGTAAAGTTGTTGAACAAATGAGTCATGTGGAAAGACAATATTTATATGGGCAGCCATGCTGGATAGCATGAATACATGCAGTCACAATTGTGAGAGTCAGGCTCATGGATAATTAATAGTTGTGAGAGCCAGGCTCATGGATAATTCAGTTGTGAGAGCCAGGCTCATGGATAATTCACAGTTGTGAGAGCCAGGCTCATGGATAATTCATTGTTGTGAGAGCCAGGCTCATGGATAATTCACAATTGTGAGAGCCAGCCTCATGGATAATTCACAGTTGTGAGAGCCAGCCTCATGGATAACTCACAGCTGTGACAGCCAGGCTCTTGGATAATTCACAGTTGTGAGAGTCAGGCACATGGATAATTCACAGTTGTGAGAATCATTCTAATGGATAATTCAGTTGTGAGAGCCATCCTCATGGATAATTTACAGTTTTGAGACCCAGCCTCATTTATAATTCACAGTTTTGAGAGCCATCCTCATGGATAATTTACAGTTTTGAGACCCAGCCTCATTTATAATTCACAGTTTTTAGACCCAGCCTCATGGATAATTCATAGTTACAAGAGCCAGCCTCGTGGATAATTCATAGTTCTGAGAGCCATCCTCGTGGATAATTCATAGTTCTGAGAACCAGGCTCATGGAAAATTCAATTGTGAGAGCCAGCCTCATGGATAATTCACAGTTGTGAGAGCCATTCTCATGGATAATTCACAATTCTGAGAACCAGGTTCATGGATATTTCACAGTTCTCAAAGCCAAGCTCATGGATAATTCACAGTTGTGAGAATCATTCTAATGGATAATTCAGTTGTGAGAGCCATCCTCATGGATAATTTACAGTTTTGAGACCCAGCCTCATTTATAATTCACAGTTTTGAGAGCCATCCTCATGGATAATTTACAGTTTTGAGACCCAGCCTCATTTATAATTCACAGTTTTGAGACCCAGCCTCATGGATAATTCATATTTCTGAGAGAAAGCTTTATGTATAATTCACAGTTCTGAGACCCATCTTCATAGATAATTCACAGTTCTGAGAGTCATCCTAATGGATGATTCACAGTTCTGAGATCCAGGCTCATGGATAATTCATAGTTCCGGGTCAGGCTCATAGATAATTCAGTTCTATCAAAAAGCCTTAGTTGTAGCTCATGGATTCTAGCCATGGGTAACAGGTGATAAAACATAAACCATAGCTCGCAGACTGGGGACTTACGGATGTTAAACATGCACACACCGAGGCAGTACTATGTTCACGTCATGTTCTTGTGCATACTAGTATATAAATGACATCTTTCATAAAGTACTTTGTGGACAGTGTTTGTGTACCAATAATTAAAATTTAAAGAGGCCCTTTTATCCTAAAAGTTTAGATTGTAAAAGTTCTTTATGGGTTAGTTTGAGGGCCAAATAACCACCCTACCATCTTCAAATCTCTTCATGTTTGGTGTTCAAGGTTAATTATTAAAATAACTAGAACAACAATAATGATAATAATAATATAACTTTTTTAGCTGTCTCCCATTGAGATAGGGTGACCTGGCAGAAAAAAATACACTTTCACTGTCACTCATTCAAACACTGTTTTGCCAGAGGAGCATTATCATCACAGTTTGGATAACCATCCAAACCACAACATCTCCACAATGCAAGGAATGTACTTCCCCCCTCAGGGAATACAGTCAGGCTAACTGGAGTCCTTGAATCAATTTGTAAATGTTATCTTGCACACACTCCAACAGCACATCAAATCATAAAAATCACTTGCCGCCTCTTACTCCTATCTAACATGCTTACACAAGTCTGTTGATGTCCATGCCCCTTGCATACTAAACCTGCTGTATCACCTCTCCAATCTTTCCTAGGATAAACTTACTTTCCCTCTACTCCAGATTTATGTGCCCTGCTAGTTATACTGTTTTCTCCATACTCTCTAAATGTCCAAACCACCTCAGCAGCCTGTCCTCAGCCCTTTAAATAATACTTTTGGTAACCTTGCACCTTCTCCTAACTCTGAATTCTCTGCATAATATTCACACTTCACATTTACCTCAAAACAAACACACACACACACACACACACACACACACACACAAATCACATTCATGAATGCACACAAACAAGCATGTGGGAACACACCCAGATACACACAATCATACACACAGACACATATGAACATAGTATTATTCACCACATATAATCACATGCACATTTATACAAACTCTGCTGATCAAAAACCAATGGGATTTTGATGAGCTTTAGAGAGGAGACAGAGGAGAAACAACAGATTACATAGTACTAACATTTCGGTCTGGAGATCCTAAGGTGGTGATTGCAGTGATGTATAACCCACCACAGAACAGCAGGAGGTCAAGGCAAGAGTATGATGAGAATAATAGAGCGATAGTTGACACACTGGCTGAGATGGCCGGAAGGGCTCATGCGAGCAGGGCAGAGCTACTGATCATGGGTGACTTCAGCCACAAGGAAATCAATTGGGAAAACTTGGAGCCACATGGGGCCAAGAAACATGGAGGAGTAAGATGATGGAGGTGGTATTGGTAAACCTGATGTACCAACACGTAAGGGACACTACCAGAGAGAGAGGAGAGGATGAACCAGCGAGACTGAACCTAGTATTCACCTTGAATAGTGCAGATATTCAGGACATCACATCTGAAAGACCCCTTGGGGCCAGCAATCATGTGGTTTTATGCTTCGAATACATAGAGTTACAAGTGGAGGGAGAAGCAGGGAGGGCCAGACGGGTGAAGCCAAACTACAAGAAAGGGGACCACGTAGTCATGAAGAACTTCCTGAACGGGGTTCAGTAGGACAGAAAACTGGCAGGGAAGTCAGTGGACGAGATGATGGAATATGTGACAACAATATGCAAGGAAGCTGAGGAGAGGTTTGTACCCAATGGTAACAGGAATAATGAAAAAGCCAGGATGAGCCCATGGTTCACCCAAAGGTGCAGGGAGGCCAAAACCAAGTGTGCTAGGGAATGGAAAATGTATAGAAGGCAAAGGACCCAGGAGAATAAGGAGACCAGTCGTAGAGCCAGAAATGAATGTGCACAGGTGAGACGGAAGGCCCAAAGGCAATTTGAGAATGACATAGTAGCGAAAGCCAGATCTGACCCAAAGCTGTTGTACAACCACATCAGGAGGAAAACAGTAGTCAAGGACCAGGTAATCAGGCTGAGGAAGGAAGGAGGGGAGGTCACAAAAAAATGAAGTATGTGAGGAGCTCAACATGAAATTCAAAGAAGTGTTCACTGAGGAGACAAAAGGGCCTCCAGAAAGGCAGAGAGGTGGGGTACACCATCAAGTGTTGGACACAATATATACAACCAAGGAAGAAGTGAAGAAGCTGCTGAGTGAGCTAGATACCTCAAAGGCGATGGGGCTTGATAACATCTCTCCATGGGTCCTGAGAGAGGGAGCAGAGGCACTTTGTGTGCCACTAATAACTATATTCAACACATCTATCGAAATAGGACGACTACCGGAAGTATGGAAGGTAGCAGATGCAGTGTCACTGATGTGTATAGTATGCAATGTCATGGAGAAGATTATCAGGAGAAGAGTGGTGGAGCACCTAGAAAGGAATGAGCTTATCAATGACAGCCAGCACGGTTTCAGGGATGGGAAATCCTGTGTCACAAACCTAATGGAGTTCTATGACAGGGTGATGACTGTAAGACAAGAGAGAGAGAGGGGTGGGTAGATTGCATTTACTTGGACTGTAAGAAGGCGTTTGACACAGTTCCACACAAGAGATTAGTGCAGAAGCTGGAGGACCAGGCAGGGATAACAGGGAATGCACTACAATGGATCAGGGAATACCTGTCAGGAAGAAAACAGCAAGTCATGGTACGTGGCTAGGTGTTAGAGTGGGCGCCTGTAATGAGCGGGATGTCACAGGGATCAGTCCTAGGACCAGTGCTGTTTCTAGTATTTGTGAGCTACATGACGGAAGGAATAGAATCCGATGTGTCCCTGTTTGCAGATGATGTGAAGTTGATGAGAAGAATTAAATCGGACGAGGACCAGGCAGAACTACAGAGGGATTTGGACAGACTGCAGGCCTGGTCCAGCAATTGGCTCCTGGAGTTCAACTCCACCAAGTGCAAAGTCATGAAGATTGGGGAAGGGCAAAGAAGACCACAGATGGAGTACAGTCTAGGGCCCAGTGTATAACACTGGGCACATCTCCTGAGGCGCACATCAACCAAATAACTGCTGTAGCATACGGGCATCTGGCAAACCTAAGAACAGCATTCCGACATCTAAATAAGGACTCATTTAGGACACTGTGTACATTAGGCCCATATTGGAATATGCAGTGCCAGTTTGGAACCCTCGCCTAGCCAAGCATATAAGGAAACTAGAGAAAGTGCGAAGGTTTGCAACAAGACTAGTCCCGGAGCTAAGGGGTATGTCCTATGAGGAGAGGTTAAGGGAAATCGACCTGACACTGAAAGACAGGAGAGATAGGGGGGATATGATAATAACATATAAACTACTGAGAGGTATAGACAAGGTGGACAGAGTCAGGATGTTCCAGAGATGGGACACAGCAACAAGGGGTCACAGTTGGAAGTTGAAGACTCAGATGAATCACAGGGATGTTAGGAAGTATTTCTTCAGTCACAGAGTTGTCAGGAAGTGGAATAGCCTGGGTAGTGATGTAGTTGAGGCAGGATCCATACATAGCT